CCATGAGGATCAAGTGAACTAATATACACAAAGTTCTGTGGATCAGCTTAAATTTAGTCAATTAGGTTTGACACTGTAGCTTAGTGGTAATGTGCTTGCCTAGCCTCTGTTCCGTCTGGGTGCTGCTCTTCCCAATTCCTCATAGTTTCAGAGGGTCAGAGGCCTGGGCATGGCTTAGCTAGTCCCTCTGGCCTAGGGTCTCATAAGGTTAGCCAGAGTGTGGTTGGAGCTCAAGTCACTCAAGGCTTGATGGGGCTACAGGGTGTTCTTCCAGTTTACTCATGAAGCTGTGTGGCTTCCCACAGGTTAGCTGGGAATCAGAGATGGGAGCATTCCAGAGAAATAAAGACTTCTTATAACTGATTCTAGAAGTGACACATAGGACTCCTGCTACTGGAGAGGGCGAAGAAGTCCAGGTGACCGCTAGGAAGCACATATTACAGGTGTTAATAGGGTGGGACATTTATGAACTTAAAGTAGCACTTGGCATCTGCTGAGCATCATGTGAAAACTGGAGGACAGCTGTTGTCACCATCAACACTGAAGTTTAAGAACTGGTAAGAATAGGATCTGAGATTTGAACTCCAGGATGGCCTGCATAGTGAACTTTAGCTCCATTGATAGCCATGTGTCAAGCACTGATATATGTAGCGCTCTTTTTAAAAACTCTACTTTTGGTGTGTTTAGGTCTCAGCCTCCCTTCCAATCTTCCAACCTCCCAACCCTATGTAGGAGAGAGGAGGTTAGTGGCAAGAGAGGGCCCCTTTTCTTCTTCTGGCTGTTCAGAATTGAGATTTTTTTTTTTTCAGGGCTCTATACCAATCTCTGTCAACAGCAGATGCAGCCAGCAGTCTCCTTCAAGACCATGTGCCCCTAAGTGTTTTTCTCTGCATGGGTTTGCTCCACACTGCCACACTGTTGTCTCTTAGGTCTCTCTAAACTGCTACACTCCACACGCCAATATCGCACGCCACACCTTCTCTTTCTGGGCTCTCAGTTTATATCCTCAGAGTCCTAGACTATGCCTCTCTCTGTGTGGCACATGGAAGGCTGTTACCAGCTGGCAAAAGCCATGTCCTGCACGAGACAATTAACAGGTGTGGGCAAACTATAGCCCAACTAAAATCTCACACTTGGTATTTAAAAAAAAGTATTTACATAGCATAACTGAGTTTACAAAAAAACCCAAAACTTCTGTTACAAATATATGATAATCAGAATAAGAATTTATGTAGTGAGTACAATCATATATTCTAAATGGCTTCCCTGTCCACAAGTTAAGATCTTCCAATGGCTGACAGTACAGTCCAGGAGGTAGGTTGTGGTGCTTGCTGTGGGTCCTAGGACCCACAGGTATTGTGGCTCATATGTGTCCACACATATCTATAAACATAAATGTTTAAATGTTATAAAAAATTAAAAAAAATCATTGCTTTTTATTTTTGTAAGTTAGTTGCTCAAACTATGGGAATTGTGTTCTTGGGCTAGTGACATGTGAAGTTTAAAGAAAAAAAAGAAAGGAAGAAAGAGAGAGAAAGAAAGAAGAAAAGGCACCTTTTAGGTGGGGGAGATGTATTGATTACTCAACTTTCTGTTACTGTAACAAAAACCCGAGACAGTCAACTGAAGAAGAGAAAAGGTTCGTTTGGTTCACAGTTCTGTTAGGCTTTAGTCCATGGTTCATTGGCCTGCTGCTTTTACAGTCTGTACTGAGGAGGCATTCCTGGTGGGGAGTACAAAGCAAAGTTGGTCACCTTAGGACCAGGAGAAAAAGAGGAAGAGGAAGGGGCTGACAAGTCCCACTGTTTCCTTCAAGGGCACTCTGCTTAACGAGGAAGACCTCCTAGATCAGGGGTTTCAACCTGCAGGTTGAGACCCCATTGTGGGGTTGAATGATCCTTTCACAGAGGTCACCTAAGACTATGATTCATAGCAGTAGCAAAATTAAAGTTATAGAATAGCAATGAAAATAATGTTATGGTTGGGGTCACAACATGAGGAACACGAGGAACTGTATTAAAGGGTCACATCATTAGGAAGGTGGAGAGCCACTAGATGTTAGGTTCCACCACTTCTAAGTAGAATCAGGCCTGCAGGACATCAGTGACCTCCTATTGCAGAGGACAAGAATTCCTTTGATTGCCAAACATCCCTGCGTCCCACAAGTACCAACCTGGCTTCATAAACTGGCATAGCATACTTGACTTCTGTGGTCACTGTGTTCTCTTTTCAAAGACATAGTATACTCTGGATATGTGTTCCTGTACTCAGGAGGCTGAGGCCCGGGGCTCATCTCAAGTTCAAAGCCACTTATAATAACGAAGATGACTCAGTCAAACCGTGTGTTCACAGTAGCTATCTGGTTTCAATGGAGCCTTCCCTGTGATTAGGTAAGGTGTAACCATCAGGGAAAATTGGGCCAGGGCTGTTCAGGGCCTCTTGCTATTATTGTCTAACTTCCTGTAAATCTTTAACTATTTAAAAATAAAATAATCGCAACATTTGATCATTCTTAGGTATTTGTAGCCAGTGCCGCTGGCCAGCACACTAGGCCTTTACTCTTTCCAAGAAAGTTTGACTATATTCTCACTTGAGACTTCACACTTCCCAGAGATGTAAAATGTTCATTTCCCCAACAGAGCAGAGCCTGCTAGGTTAAACTGGCAGCTGCCACAGATGTCCATCCAATGAGCTGATATATTTACCATGGTTTCACGTCATTTGATGGAAATTGGATTTCTATTAAAATTCTATATATTAGGTTTGATTTTTAGATGGAGTCTTAACATATTATTAAAAAGATAATTCAGCAGCTACCTGAAACACTTTAGAGATGGAATGACCAGGAAAGCTGAAGGTTGGCCTGTGTGTGGGGGCAGGTAGAACGAAAGCCAGAGGCCCAGCACTGCAACAGTGCAACCTGTGTGTTCAGTAGTCTCAGTGGAGGCTGCCCACTGTGCCTCTTGGAAAGTGGTCTTTGGAGAGCTAGTACTAACTTTCTCCCAGCAGAAGTGTGTATCTACTGAAGGTGATATTTTCTGTGACTTCTCACAGGGTGGCTGAGAATGAGATGTGTAATGAGGCTGTGGTTATAGGAACCGTACTAAACACACAATGCCGTTGTTTACAGCAGGGCTGTTTTCCCTCTTCACAGGCCTGCTCAGAGCTTGCTGTTTGGTTTCAAACAATTGCTGTAGCTGCTTTAGCTGGAGTTAATGCAGCAACCCTGTACAGATTCCTGACAGTCTGTTAGGGCAGGGGCAAAGGGAAGGCTTCTTCATGGTTTCCTTTACCCAAGCTTCTGAGAAATGTGCGGAGTTCTCAGGTGATTCCTGAGTGTCTGGTACTTCCTGCATTTGACCCTGATGTTCTCTCCCCAAATCAACTGCAAAGAACAGTCCAAGGGAAGGGCTGTCTTAATAGACCGCGTGGTAGTGTAAGGCACTGGAAACAGACATGCCTATCTCAGGTTTCACAGCTGAGTAAGGACTAAGGAATGCTCTTTCCATCCGTCAACAGACTGAGTTAGTGCTTGCTGTGGTGCAGTTAAAGAAAACAGCTTGGTTGCAGCAAGTGTGCAGTGTGGTCTTGACCTGTGCACTAGACTGCAGGCATGTGTGGTCAGCCATGCATGCTGTAGGGCATGGCAGTGAGCACAGGTTTGCTTTTGGTTCCTGGGGGAGACAGAGATGGAGCGGATGACAAGGAACATTATGTACTTCCAGCCAAAAATGTTAAGGGAATGTAAGTGTAGCAGGTATTTTTCTATAAAACATCCTTGCTTACACATGCCCTAAGTATGACAGGGTGGATAGGAGAATGCAAGGGATTGGGTTTTCAGCCAATTCTGTTTTCTTAAATAGTTCTAGTTGTTGGAATGTTTTGCAATGAGTCTTTTTATTTGTATAACCATAGAAGAAATCTGGTTTGAGCTCTTTTTATTGTAAAGCAGAAAATTTTAGTGTGTTTAATCAAACTCTGAAGACCTGGGATGGGGAGTGAGAGGCAGAAATAGAATGCAGACAAGGAGCCTCTTCCCGGGATAGCTGGTGAGAGATTAAATCTCAGAGAGACACAGGAAAATATATCTTGGGGACAGAGAGAACTGGGTTTTACTGGTGACCTTGACCATGTGATCTTCTTCAGAGACACTATCTGTCCAACTCCTCTCTTACTGAATTGAGATAATATGACAGACTTATTGTGAATTTTCCACAAATGATGGATGGATAAATGTGCATGTGTGTGAGTCAGTGAGCTTATATGGGTCCAAGCTATGTGGTGGTTAGAATGGATGATGAATACATGTATGTGTGGTTGTGTGAGCTGACATGATCAAGGTCCAAGCTATATGGTGGGTAGTAATGAATGTCAGTTTCTTCTCCTGCTACCTAATGTCACATGATCAGTCAGTGTACCTAGGGAATGGGGTTTGGGAGGTAGGTTGTCATTGTAGCCCAATGTCTGTTTTCTATTATATGCTCTTATGTGGGGTTGGGAGTGGATTTGGCCACTGGTTCCCCCTGGTGTTCCAGTTTCCCCATCTACAAAGTAGGAGCTGTGCTAGTTTTGGGGATGATGTATAAACACACAGCATGAGGTCAGTCATGTACTACATGGTAGCTGGTGTGATTTGAGCCTGCCCCTGGTGAGCTGTGTTTACTGTGTGCCTCTGTTGGTTTCGAGAATATCAAGTGCCTGACCCTGAACAGACACCTGGAAGTTTGCGGATTCCCAAAGCACACATTTGCATTCCAAGTCTGTAGGCACGGGCACAGTTAGCATTCACCAACACTCCAAAAGGAAAGTTCCAGAAGGTTTTTCAAAAGTATGCCCTGAGTTACAGCCATTTTCAGCATTGCTCTGTGAACCAGGAAAGCACATTAACATTTACAAGATACAAATTGTGTGCTTTTCTTCATACAGATTCTCTCCCCTGCTTAGGGTGGCAATTGTTAGTTTTTAAATTTGTTTTTTTTTAAACATTCTTATACCTGCAGAGAAAACGAGGTGCTCAAAGTCCAGCTGAAGAAGTATGTAGGAGCTGTCCAGATGCTGAAAAGAGAAGGTCAAACAACTGAAGGTGAGGTGGCGATGAGCCCATGTTGGGGTGGGGCTGGCTACTTTGTGGGCAGGCTCAAGGAATGGGTGAATACATACTTTGGTGCAGTAGAAAATGGTGCTTGTTGCATCCCAGAGTTAGACAGAAAACTCTGCTGTGTATTCTTGCTAAATGAAAACTAAGCCCCACTGGACTCAATAACAGTTGTACGGTTTGAGCACTTACAGTCTAGAACATGGAATGGTTGATTTGCATGAGGCTAGAGGTATAAGCAGCAGAATGCAAACAGGGTAAACACTGACACCTTCCTGGACTCACACTTGCCAAGCTGTCATCTCTTGTAGTCTCTTAATCTCTCTGTGTCTCAGTCTTCTCATGTGTAAAATGGGATAGTTGACAGGTGATGTGTGGAGGCAGTATAAGGATTAGCACAGGGTGGGTACTGTTGGTATTTTTGTTATTTTAATTTTGACAATTTTGTGCATATGTGCAATGTGTTGGGATCACTCACTCCCCCTCACTTCTTACCTCCTTCACTCTTGATAACTCTTTCCTCTTAGCTTACCCCTCCTGCATTTATGGGCACACAGCATATGCATATGAAAGTCAGAGACCAAACTCAGAAGCTGTCCACTTTATTACTAGAGGCATGGTATCTCACTGAACCTGGACCTCACCAATTGGCTGGGCTAGATGGCTAGTGGGCCCCAGGGATCCATTTGTCTTCTCCTCCATAGCACTGGGATTACAAGCATATGCCATAGTGCCAGCTTTTTCACACAAACACCAGGGACTGAGCGCAGGTCCTCAGGTATACATGGCAAACCCTTTACCAATTACACCATCTTTCCAACCCCTAGGCTTGCTTTTGATTTAGAAAATGCAGGATTATGAGATGTATTCCTGAATCAGGATTTTGGGAGCACTCCTTCCCAAACGCACAAGCAGATTCCATGGTCTGTGCGGATTGCAGTGGAAGCTCCATTTCTTAAGATGCAGCCTGCGTGCTCTGAAGCACAGCTGGCTGTAAGCGCACAGTGTGATCACCTTGTTGAACCTCAGTGAGATGGCCAGCACAGTCCACTGTAGAATAGCAGTAGCACTTCTACTTCGCGCCAAGATACACTGCATACCTTGGGTGTCCCTCATGCTGCAGGGTTTTCATGGATGAGCTCAGTATTGGGCACATACCAGTTGCCTTGTTGTTTCTTATGGAATCCTGTGATTCTCTCCTTTTAGTCCCAGTTATCAAGGAGCATCAGCGGTGTGCCAGCACCGTGAAATAGCCTTGCACCATAGCCTAGGCCTGTAACCCCAACATTCAAAGCTGGGGCCAAATGTTTGTTAGGTCAAAGCTAGCCTGAGCTGCATAGTAAGACCCTGTTTCCTGCCCCTAATCCTCTTCCTGATCTGGGTGTTACAAATTGCACATGTGCAGGCATGTACTGAATACCTACACAGTACTCTGTAACTGTTTGTGATTATGTGTTTGCTTTAAAAAATAGTTGTAAAAGTCAGTGCCTTCCAAAGTTGCACAGCAGATTTCTTCCCAAGCTCCTATCTTCCTTCTAAGAGATTTGGACTGTCTCTGGTGGTCTCCACTCTTCACTGGAGATCCAGACACATCCTGGCTGGGCCCCGGTGCCTGCAGGCTCATGGGAGTTGGAGTCCCCTACACTGAAAGACTAAAGGAAGGGAGACTTTGCTCATTTGATTCACTATCTCCCTTGGCTTTTGGTATCAGGGATGGACACACCCATGTCTGAGTTTTCTGAGTTCAAGGAAGGAATTGAGAACATAAGCATTTTAGTTGCAAGTATAAAATATCTTTTTATCTATGACAAAACTGACTAATACAGATGTGAGCTCATCAGAAGGAAGAGACTGAAAATATTTACTTCCAAATGCTTTTGCAGTTGACAGTGTTCCTTAGGGTTGTCCTGGGACCTTCATCTTTAACCTTATATTTTTGTTTTGGGAAAAAAAATGCCTCTAGGTTTAAAAAATGAACAACATAAAATTACCTTTTAAACTGCAATGTTAACAACCTTTAAATTTTCAGGTACATATTTCAAATTTCTATTCCTCTTCTGTTTCTGTGAGTGATCTGATTTCTCTAGAAAGGAAATATGGAATAGAATTTCAGGTTGACTTTTTCTCACCTCTTTGAAAAGCTTTTGGCTCCTGTTGTGGTTGAGAGTGAGGGTGGGGTGTTCTCCACTGACTGCTGCATTTCCTAGCCAGGACAGAGGTTTGTGAAAGCTTGGATCTCCTTTTGCTTTGCCTCTTACTCTGGAGTGTAAGAGCAGTTTTACAGCTGTGGCAGGAGGGCCACCAAATCCCTAGGAACCAGCTTGGCAATTAGGCATCCATTGTAACTCCTCTGGACATTAGGTCAACTCTGCTAGTGAACTTGGATTCCTTTGTATTCTCCAGGAAGCCGGTGGTAGACAGTTTTCTGCATGACCAGAGAGTAGGAGTTGACTCTGCATGCTTTTGATTTCTTCTCTGGCATATTACTCAAGTCCTGAATCAACATGTGTGGCCAGGGAACTGGAGAGATGCTCAGTGAGGAAAATGCCCATAAGAATAGGACCAGAGCTTGATCTTCAGAACCTAACTTACCAAGCTGGTTGTGGTGGTGCATGCTTGAAATCCCAGCCATGGTGAGGTACAAGGCAGAGACAGGGACATCCCTTAGGCTCACTAGCTAGCCAGACTAGCTAACTTGGTGATCTCTAGGGCAGTGAAATGGTTTTGGCCTAGAAGTCCTTAGGTGGCATATTGATAGATAGATTAAACCTCAGCCAGTTTCTGCCTTGTGGTCTGGCCACTCCAGAAGGATGCTGATGTTGTCATATACAACAAAGTGAACCACCATGGGTTGGTGTGTGCCAGGCCAGGCCACATACACAGTCAGAGATACAGACAGAGCATGTGTATGTGCAGGATGTTATTTTAGGAAACTGGCTCATGTGATTGTGGAAGTCCATTGACTCCATCATCTACAAGGTGTCCTGCAGGCTAGAGACCTAGGGAGAGTTGATGTCACATCTTGACTCTGAATCCTACAAATACATCTTTTCCAGGGACCTTTCTTCTCTTCCATCTTAAGGCCTTCAACTGGGTGAAACCTAGCCATGTTATTCAGGCTGACAAATTTGCAGTTGGCATTTGGATTAGCACTTGATCAAATATCTACACATCATATTCCAGTCATGTTGTCAGTCACCAGGGGGACATCATTGTCAGAAAGTAGAAATTAAGATTTCTGTTTGAATCCAGGCTGCGGTTGAACACACTTTTAATCCCAGTACTTGTGAGGCAGGGGCAGGCAGATCTCTTGAGTTTGAGGCTAACCTAGTCCAGGAGAGCCAGGGCTACACAGAGAATCCCTGTCTTGAAAAACAAAACAAACAAAAAAGATTTCTGCACACACCCGCTAGGTCTATCTTACTCTTTTCCTCCAGGTTTGATTCCCATGTGGTTTTTGGATCATGAGATGCCTGGGTCCCCAGCCTGGGTTTCATGTGCTGAGCTCCCTGTAGTGCTGGTTTGTATGCACAGCTGTTTTACGTAGGCTATCTCCCCTGTTCACAGTACTACTTCACTTTATTATGAGGGAAACCCACATGACTTGTGGGGAGGACATCTTCTTCCTGGATAGCCAGAACCAGTTGTGTGCTGTTGCCTAGTACAGACAAGGGTAGGTGACATCCTGGAATAGACGTCAGACACTGTAGCTTACTCACTTGTTGGCAGTTCTGTTGTAGACATGCTTGCTCTGGTGTTGGAGAGTGCAGAGTAGACATGCCCTTTTCCCCCCCTCCATCTCAGAACTCTTCTCCTTCCTTGGTAGAGTGATGCTACTGCCTGGGAAGGGCGCCTGGAGAAATTATGATCCTTGGGGAAAGGCAAGGCAGGCAGAGGGCTGTGGGCTCACTCTTGTCACTCGCTGCCTTTAACAGCTCTTTGTTCTTGGTGGAAGTTATTTCAGAGCTTCTGATATTCACTGGGGCCTGGAGATAATGACAGTGACATTCTGGACTTGTGTGCACACAGACAAGTGATGGTACATGTTAAATAGCAGGCAGTTTTCATTATAAATGAGGTTAGGGATGTTTTGAAGCTTCAAGTTGAGGGTCAGAGAAATTAGCAGACACCTGTCAATTAGTTTCTGAAAGGTGAGTGATTCTGGTGATAATTGTATAGTGAACCTCTCTGAAAGCTTTGTAGCCATTATCCAGATAAAATAGTATCTGGGTAAGGAAATAGCTTCCTGTCCTGTAAACAAAACCTGGGAAGTGGTTTTAGTGCCTGGCTGAGGTGTTAAAGTCCTAGCAGCTGCCTCAGATCAGTTCAGAATGGACACGTGTGCATGTGCACGCGTGTACACACACAGACACACAGGAACACACAGACAGACAGAGAAAGTTACTGTATTGTAACTGCCCATGCTGACTGTGAGTCTGGTTTCATCTGAGTGGCAGGGACTGTACCCACCTAAAGGGGTTGTGTGTGCAGGCTCATGCATGTGCACCCGGCATTATTTGTAAAACTTTTATTATTACTTTATGTATAGGTGTGGGGTGTATGTGCCATGACACATGGAGAGGTCAGAGCACAGCATGTGGAGTCAGTTCTGTTTTTCTGTCTTTATGTGGGGGCTGGGCCTCCCACATTAACAATCAGGGATTGCATCAGGTCACCAGGCTTGCTCTGCAAGTGTCCTTACGTGCTGAGCCACATTCCCTGTCATCCACCTTAGTTTTTGAGACATGCTTTCTCACTGAACATGGAGCTGACTTGTTAGACTAGCTGACTAGCAAGCCCAAGAGACCCTCATGCCTCGGCTTCCCCAATGCTGAAATTACAAATGTGTGCCATCAGCTTAGCTTTTAGCTTGAGTGTACTTTACTGAGTTCTGTTCCCAGACATAAGAGGGTTGAGTTTTTAAAATTTTAATTTATTGGAAAAGTCTAGGGAGTATTATAGCTAATGCTGTCTGTATTTACCTCTAA